GGGCCCGGACAGTGTGGCTCAGCGGTTGAGCACTGACCTGGGATCTAGGAGATCGAGGTTCAATTCCCAGTCAGGGCACATGCCCAGGTTGCAGGCTGGTCCCCCGTGGGGGGCGTGCAGGAGGCAGCCGATCAATGACTCTAAGCACTGATGTTTCTCTCTCTCTCCCTCTCCCTTCCTCTCTCTGAAATCAATAAAGATATATTTAGAAATAATAAAAAATAAAAAATTAGAACAAAGAGGCTCTATTTTCCAGAGGCCCCACCCCCACCCCCAGGCTGTGGCTGTGGCTGTGGCTGTGGCTATGGCTGTGGAATGAAAGGGCCAGGGGACCAGCAAGGAGATGGACATGCTAGAGAGTCAGTGCTGGCAGCTTAGGGATGAGGTCACCTTTGTGCACAGAACAGTTCCCCTCTCCCCACAGTCCCCACAGTTCCTCGAACCCAGCACAGAGGACACTGGTTTTTATGTCCCCATCTCATGTAAATCCGCCCACCCAGGCCCATTACCATCAGCCCCATGTTGGCCAAGTCCCAGGAGAGTGTGGAAGGGCATCAATCTTGCCGTGTTCTCTGTGCCACCAGACAAGGGTTAAACCACACACCCCAGGGAAGGCCACGACCCCCTCCTCCCTGCTGCCCAGAGCACAAGCCCTCCTGGCAGCCCAACAACACACTCTTGGCTCCCAGAATAGCCTGTGGCCATGGGGCCTGTGGTCAACAGCCTCAAGAGTCTCATATGAGTAATCCTTAGGAAAACACTGCAGAACCCGAGAGGTGTAGGCACCAGGACCTGAGCTGGTGGGCAGGTCCCTTGGGTCTCCCTCCTCTACGCTGGGCTGGGCTGGGCCGGGGAGGGGCGGGTGCAGTGGGGAGAGGCAGGCTGGGTGTTCCAGAGGAAGGAGGCATGCCAGCACGTGGGCTGTGCAGCTCCCCTTCCCCCATCCCTCTGAAATGTCCCAGTCCCCTTTCCTCCCCCTCAACTCCAACCTCAAGGCCCTGATGTTCCTCTGGGCCCATCCCAGGGCCTCACATTTTTGGTTCCTGCGCTCAGAACACCATCCCACAGACCTCCAAGTTCCTACTCCCTCACGTTCGTGCTTCTGTTCCAATGTCACTTTCTCAGGGAGCCTCAGTGGGAAACCACCTGTCTGTGATTTATGGGATCAGCCCACCCTGAGGATGCTGACCATGAGAGGGCTGGTGGAGGTGTGGAGGGTACAGGACCCCAAGGCCAAGGAGACACTTGCTGGGCAGGGTGACCACAGGTCTAAGCTGCTATGTGCCATGAGGCTTGTCCTTGGTCCCTTCCCCCAGAGGAGTGGGGGGCCTTGCTTGTCCACCTGCATCTCAGTTCTACATCATTTCCTTGGCTGTCTGGGCAACCCAGTCCAAAGTTACCTCTTCTGCACACAAACAGTGCTGTCAGCGTGAACGGGAGGGAGGGAGCTCCAGCTCCAAGGATGAAACTGTCCCAAGTGTCCATCTCCCCATCAAATCCATCGGCGCCAGTCCGGCTTTTTCACTCATCTCAAACCAGGCGAGCAGGGAGGGCCTCCCTCCTTCACTCAGCAAGTACCTAGCGGGACCCTGCTGACCGGCAGGCACTGGGCCAGCACTGAGATTCAAGGGTGAGTCACAGGGATACGGTCCCCTGAACCCGCCTAAGAGGAAGCTGAGGCCTTCGGAGGGCGGCGGGATGCCCAGGACAGCAGAGCGAGCTGGGGAAGGGCCGCCCACGGAGGCCGCCCCGTGCCCGCCGGGAGGCTGTGGCTGGGGCGCTCGCCACCTACCTGCTTTAGAAACTTCAGTGCCTGGGGCAGGGCAGGGCAGGGCAGGAACCACCGCGCCCCAGGCTCACTTACCTTCCGCGACTTCGGGGTGACATTCGCGTCCCTGCTCCCCGCTCGGGCTGGGGCCCAGAAGGCCTGGCCGTGGACGCAGCGCCGGGTGCGGAGGCGAACGGGCGCGCTGCCTCCTGAGCCGCGCACCAGCCCCTCTGCGA